TCGCTCTCTATCGCAGTGGATGAAATAAAGTAAACACGGCGACTGCTCGGGCGTAGTCTTCCATTGCCTTGACGTAACTCCAGTAATATAAGTCTTGTAGTGCTCAGTCGCTATATATCACAAAGTAAATGACAGAATGTGAATAGTTTGTGTGGGAAATGTAATTAAAGCATGATCACATACTGTCAAGTGTTGTGGTGGTGACATTAAACTACAATTCAAAACCTGTGCCTTAAATATCTACGGCAGGACTGCTGTTAACCCCTCCATAATTTAATTTTCATCTCAGCTTGGCCTTGGAAACTTGGAAGCTTTTTATGCTTTTTCAAGTAGCCAGTAGAGAGAAGATGCCCCAAGACGTCAGATTCTTAACAGCAAGCCTGCATTACAAACTGGCCGTGTGGAGTTTTAAACTATATAACCAAGCAGGGAGAGTTTAACAAATGACACTGTCGAGTTTCATTATAGGAATCATAGGATCCAGTGTTTCTACTAAAAGTCAGGATAGCCTCTCGATTGTCTTGGCTGATTTGATTTCGACTAATCTTTTTAAAATCTGTCTCTTGTGAGTCTCTGAACTTAATGCAGATGCTACACTTCAGTGCTGCTTTAACTTCCAAAACACTACGCCCATACACCTGAAATTACTAAAGCTTCTAAGGTCACTGCTTTGCCTTGTAGTCAAATCCAATCACCCAAACTAGCTCTGGACCGCAGGCGGCCAAGATGCATCTCAGTGTCGCACGCAAATTCACCGGCAGCTTAGACAGGCACATGATCAAGGATGAAAGTTTGTCATGTTTAAAGGAGCTTTTAGTGTTTTGTATTCTATTACTGAACTTCCTCTCTTGCTGCTTGTCCATCTAACAGAGCGATCAGCTGGATAGTTTCTGTGGGAAGCAGAAGGAGAACGTTCCTCCGTGCACTCTGGACCTGGTGAGTCTGCTTCTGCATGCTGCACGTTGTCACATTGCCTTCAGTCTCTGTTACATGACTTAAATAATAACCTATATATTTCAGACATGGTAGATGTTTTGCTGTATGGTTCATTTATAAAGCCTGCCACATTGAAAAATTTAGATTTAGATTGGTTAGTTTGTCTTTACATCAGCTCTTTTTCTTCCAGAGTCCAGAGCCAGAAGTGAACAGCAGGAAAGGTTTTACCTCCGAGAGCAACGGTAATTTACTTTCCATGTCCTCAAATGACTCTAGATGATAGGAATTTCCTCTTCCTAATGAGAACTTGGCCGGTGGACCATCATTACAGTGGATGTCTGGGTGTAGTTTATGGGGGTGAAAAACATTTTTTGCACTTTTATCCAGTCTATAAGAGTTGAATTATACAGAAAGGTAAATTTATTTTATTTGTAATTAATCCAGTACATTTAGTGCTGTTAATCATGTGATTAAAAAACAGGAGTCACATTAATTACCAAACATCCACTGCTTCATTTTTTATTCCTGAACATGTCAGTTTATTGTATTAAACATGGAAGTGGCTCCATCTTGTGTTCAGAACATGGCACTACCTTTTCTCATGCTGGTGATTTTGTGACCCAGCAGGCTCTGCTACTGGCACGCCTGCATCCTCCAATCAGAAAGACTCTTCTCAGCCCAAGACTTCCAAAGTGAGTCCTCACAGAAACACTTGGATGCAGAGAAATACACATTTACGTTTTGTGTGAATTAATGAATTTGCTTTCTGTAATAATTGTGCAGGGCTTCCGCCTGCCAGTGAGGGAGACCTGCGTGTCGTGTCTGAAGACTGTTTATCCTCTGGAGAGGCTGGTGGCCAACCAGCACGTCTACCACAGCTCCTGCTTCCGCTGCTCACACTGCAACACCAAACTCAGGTGAGGAAGACACAGGCATAATAATTACTTCTTAAAAGAGCAGGTGGCAGCAGACTTACGAGGGTATTTAATGAGGATCTGCTGCCATTTTTAGGTAATTTGATTACACACACGTCTCTAATATCTCTTTTTCAAAACTCTTTCGTTTTCACCAAAATCTCAGGACCAACTCCTGTACCAGAACTCTGACTTTGTCTCCCAACAAGAAAAATTGTCACTCAGAACACAAAAAATATTTTATATTTATAGATCCCATTGCAATAAAAAGAAGGGCACTTAAATGTATTATGCTACCTTATGGTATGTTACACAAATTAATCAGAAATTCTGTCAGGGGCTTCAAGAGGTTTTAAGTAATTTAATGTAAAACAAATACGTGTATATTCACTGTATCTTCATGAACGATTTTAATTCATGATAGTTGGTGTTTGTCTGCATAAATATCAAATTATAATGAAATTATGAAAGTTTGTAATATAATAAAACAATATAATATAGTTTGGGATATGAGGTCTAGTAAAAGGTGAATGTTGTCATATAGTATTACTTAATATACAGTATAGTATATTATCAGTGACAGAATGTAAAAACTGAAGTACATCCAGCTGTTGCCATCCCATCCAATCAGTGGTTAAAACAAGATCACCCATCAATATTTACGGAAAGCTGATCATCAGCTGATTCGTTCTGAGCAGTTTGATGGCAGGAATGATAAAATAATTTCTCACCTTGTCATAGCAGATTGTTCATATTTCTAATCACGTCTCTTTTGTGTTTATTCCTCTCCGGGCTAGTTTGGTGAACTACGCCTCCCTGCACAACAACGTGTACTGCAAGCCGCACTTCTCCCAGCTCTTCAAGGCCAAAGGCAACTACGACGAGGGCTTCGGCCACCGGCCCCATAAGGAGCTGTGGGAGGGCAAAGGGGAGAGTGGTGAGACCTCGCCTCAGGATAAGCCGAAGATCCCGAGCCCAGCCCCGTCCTCAGACTTGGACAGCCCCAGTGTGGAGGACTCCCCGCTGGCTAAAGTCAACGTGCTGACAGCCACTATGGAGGCTCTGGGACAGGGGTCACCAGAGAAGGCTGACAGACCCACTGAGACCCGCAGGCTGAAAATCTCCTGGCCACCACGAACAGAGCTGGAGGACTCGTCCAGCCGCAGTGGAGCCACAACAACCACAGACGGGGGCTCAGCCAGTAAGTCCATCCGAGCCAAGTGGCCCCCAGAGGAGGACTCCCCCTCCTCAGCCCCTGAACAGGCCAGAGAGACACCCTGTCTGCGCCGGAGCTCATCCCTGAAGGAGCGCAGCTTGCCCTTCACACTGGCAGGACAAGCCGGCAACACTCCTCCTGCTGAAGGCAGGAAACAGTGTCCACCTCCTCATGTGGATAACCGGCAGCAGAGTCCTGAACCCTCCTGCATGGAGGTGCAGCACGACGGTCAGTTGTCAGACAGCCTGACCCCCGTTGAAGACGGCTGTGTGGATGTTCACACCAGCTCAGGAGGGGAGGAACAGAAAGGGGAGATGAAGAGCAAAAGTATGCCGGACCATCATCTCACCAAAGAGGAGGACGACAATCTAGATGAACAACCAGAGGAGGAGGAGATGGAAGATGGAGGCGTGTCGGAGGAGGAGATGCTGCCCCTGAAACGGCAGGAGACTCCAACAGACATCTCATCTCCTGAAGGTGAGGTGGCGGCCAGCCGGTCGTCTCAGGACGTGGGCTTCTGGGACAGCGAGGAGGTGGATGACAAGGAGGAGGTGGAGCCACAGGAGGTGCTGTCTGTGGAGGAAATGATCAAACGAAACCGATACTACGAGGATGAAGAGGAGGAAGAGGACGCGTAAACTGAATGATCTGCTCTTGGCCAACAAGACGGCAGCCATAGACACTTAGAAAACTTCTTGCCATTCCTTATTTTGTTTTGTTTTTTAGATGTTTTCATCTCCTCTTCTTAAAAGAGTTGCTGCGGTGTCTAGTGTGAACTCTACTGAACGTTATTTTGTGCCTCTTTGAACACTTTCTGAAACCTTCAAAGCCATTCCTACAAGATAGTTTTTACAAGACTGTTTGAAGAATGTGTCGCTCTGACATTGTGTGTTTTTAAATATACTATTTTAATTGTAATTTTCTATTTTCATTGAATGCCTCCTAATCTGGATTGATGAGCACCGGGTTTCATGGTCCTATTATACCAAGATATGGGATTATTACAGATAATGTAGCCTTTGTCACTAAATGGCCTCTTAATGGAGTCATGTTTTAAGAGGAAAGCTAAAAGAAGACGAGCTTAAGGCCTCGCTGTTTTTCAAAAGAAAGTCCAGCACTTTGATCTGTTTCCATTTTTCTAAATAATGGGTTTGGTTAGTTTTTCAGTTGCCATTCTGTATGTACTTAAAAAAACATACACCTTTTTTGTGTTTTCCAATTACAAGAGCTACTGGAACTGGATCATGTTGTATTGTGTTTAAACCAAGTGACCAAATATCCTAGATTGCTACTGTTTAAATAAATTGTTATATACAAAATGTTTTGTTTGGGTTGCTTATCCTGTGTCGAACACTGCAGTATGTTAATGTGCAAAAACAAGTCTATGGCCATGCTAGCTGCTCTGAGGCTGTATTAAAATACTGTACATGCACCATAGTGTTTACATTTGGGTTTAATTACATTTAAATCAGATATCACAGCTTTGACAAAGTCTCTTGTCTACAGTTGTGCCCCAGTTGTGACAGTATATGTGGAAACAAGGCGGGAGGGGGGTGTACACACTCCTAGCAAGACTTTATTTCCGATGGTACTCCAACACAACAAACTGTTTCCACCATCGTCTTCCTTCTGAGCGAGAACTGTCCTTGATTGACTTCTTTCTCTGGTTAATAACAAAGGGCGTCACCAGGAGTCACTCATAGGGATTCTTTCCATGATGCTGTCAAACGCCTTGTAAAACAATCTGCCTGTCGGAGGCTAAAAGCACTTTCTGTGGATTTTAAAATACCCAAATTACCCTTTAAACCAGAGGTTTAAAACTTTTGTAAAATATTAAAGCAGAATTTATAAACCCTTTTATACAAGGTGAGACCACGTATCAGTAAATCAGACACTTCATTTTTAAAGCATTTCAAAGAAAATGAAGCCATTACTTTTTTTACATTACTGAAACCTTTATTGATGATCATACATGTACTGAACAAGGCCATTATAGTGCAAATCATCAAGGCGAGGAATTATCACAGGAGTCCTTTAGTGAGTAAAGTTGGAGACACTACAAAACATTTGAAATCAGATTTAGCTCTAATTTGGTTGAACCGTGAAACTTTCTGTAAACTTTAATACAAGTGATTTTAATACCCTGAACTTAGATGCGGCCTGAAATGTCCACATCAGTGTCTCATTAATATCTTTGCACCATCTAGCATATAAGTTTTTACAGTTCAGTCTGTGACAACCTGAACTTAAAGTCTCTATCCAGCCCTGCAGGACAGGAAATACAAGACCGAATGTTTTTTTTTTTTTTTTACACCAATGGCTCTAAAAACAAATGCATGACAACAGCTAAAAACAAACATACAATCTCCAGCAGATGTGATTTAATATTTAACCCTGGGTAGTAATTTTACATCACTTTATATTTCTAGCATTACTGTCTGCAGCATCCTAGTGTGCGAATGATGAGCCTGCCGTGTGCACCTCACGGGAAGGTGCAGATGAATGTATAGATTACGTTACAGGGCCGCTGATGTTGTAATGGACAAATATACATGTGGAAAGTTGCAATTTGATGAGATGAAGAGGCTGGTTAACCATTTAGCTGATACAGTATAATAGCATTGATATCGTCATTCCCTTTAATCAAACAGACGGAAAACAAAATCATCATTCTGAATTATTTGTGTGGAAACCAGCTCCCACTATGACGCGACATGACAAACAGTATTTCTCATTCACCTGTGCAGATTGTTTTAGTTCTGGGGTCTGTATCACAAAGAAAGCTCAACTTAGTCTGTCTGTCTTAACGGTCTTCACTGAGTTCTGTATAAATGGTATTTAACAATGGTGAAGCAAGTATTTAGATACTTTACTGAAGTAAAAGTACTAATACCACACTGTAAAAATATACCATTAAAAGTAAGTTTGTAAGTATAACCAGGAAATGTATTTAAAGTATTACAAGCTGTAAATGTCCCTGTGACTGTTAGTATTATATATCATTAGATTATTCTTCAGGCATTAATGTAAAAGCAGGATTTTACTGTTGGTATTGGTGGAGCTCATTTTGAAATATTTTGAGTGCAACTATTATTTTAATTAATGATTCACCTGCTGATTATTTTCTCCATTACTCGATTGATGGTTAGGTTTGTAAAAATGAAATGCGGAAGGTGAAACAGTAGCTTGATACTTGTAACATTGAATCTGTTTGCATGCTTGCTTATTTTGGAACGTCGAAATTCACTGCTTCGCTACGGCAACACCGTTTGACGAATCCGAAAACACTTCGCAATTTAGAATCGCAAAGGTCTTCAGATTGCACTGCACAAATTTGGAGTTGATCGGATTAATTCTCTAGCAGGAGTTTGTTAAAGTACAGAGCCTGTAAATTAAAAAGCGAGTATAATTTTTTTTTTTTTATTAGTGACATTTTTTGGTCCATATAAAGAGTTAAAAGTAGACTGCTGCCAAAGCAGAGATGAGAAATACCATTAAAAAAAAGGTAATTTATATAATGGTTTTCTCCAAGGCGCTTAACAATTTCAATCTGATTCACACATACTCTCACATCAATGGCAGCGAACTCAAGGAAATTGGGGATCAAACCGCCAACTCTGTGATCAGCAGCCGACTCCGACTATGATAATGATAGGATTATAATTTACTGAGTTAATTAACAGGGTGTGCAATTAAAATGCAGATATAATTACCATTCATTATAGAGAGCTGAAATGCTTAGTGGATTAATTGATTGGTTCATGGAAAGAAAGAAATGTTTGGTCAGCTATTTTATAATTGATTTATCGTTTCAGTCATCTTAAAAGCATAAGGACAAAATATTCCCAGGTTCCAGTTTTCCAGTTTCTTTGTCTTATGTTACAGTAAATTGTTCATTATTGTGTTAACCTATAGCCTATTGATCGGATAAAACAAGCAATTTGAAGACATCAACTTGGGTTTTAGGAAATTGTAACATAATGTTCCAAATCTTCTGACATGTTACAGACCGAATGCTTAATCAATTAAGAAAATAACCAGCGGATTAATGTTTAATATGAAAATAATAGTTAGTTGCAGCCCAAGGTAAAGTTATCAAGGCAACGCAATTTTTGTTAATTTTAAAAAGATTTCTCTGTTACTTGTAAACTACAGCACTTTTGTACACCGTAGGAATGACGACTCACTAACTTCAGTGATTTGATTGGCCAGTAGTTTTGATCTGGTTATGCTCCATTTCGGCACAGGTTACCAACGGTGATCTAGCCTGGTTAAAAGTCGGCTTTGTGATGAGTCGAGCCCAACGATAGACAGCCAACAGACTAATCCGGCTTTGTGATCCAAGTATTTTTCTTGGACTTTTTTTTAAACATGCAGCAACCAAAACATCATTGTCTTTATCTTAAAAAAACACCCAGCAGCAAATTCTAATCCTAAATTCTCACCTATCAAGTTATCAGTACAACAGCAAGAAATTTATTCGAGCAGAATTGTTTCCATTCTCTTTTAAATTACTTGCAAAATGTCACATCATCATTTGAACTTTCTGGTTTAAAAGGAAATGAAGATGGGAAATAATCTTTCGTATTGAGGGCAAACATGCACAGTGAGTGAAACCTGTACAAAAGCAGAACAAAATGTTAAAACACAGAGTAACACATAACAGCATGATGGGTTAGGTTTTCACGTGACGTCACATTCCACGGAAAACGCTCCCTTGGAGGGCAAAAAAACGTTGACGAGGAGACAAGCCTGAGCTGCGTTAGGTGAGGGAATCCCTACAAGGTAAACGTAAAACATTACCACAGTCGAGCGCTGGCAGGGGGCCTGGCGGTTTTTAATGGCGGAAATACGGCAGCGGGTGGTGTATATGGATTGCAAGTGCCCAACACTTGCAGTTTGTGTCCATATTTATCTTTTTCTTGAGTTGAGAGGTGATCTAAATAAAATTTGCTTTAATAAAACTGCCTTTGCGGTATCTCTACGAGGGAGTCCAGTGTGAGCTCCTATCTTGGTCTGTTGTTTTGGCCTCCAGGTCTCCGCGTACGTCACGTGGCTGATAACTATGAATACAATATACCTGCATATTGTACTTCTGTGTGAGGTTTGCAAAGTTACATTTGAGTGGTTTTTATTTAACTCTATGGTTATTCTTATGGCTGTGGATTGTGGTGTTGCATCACACTATCCTGGAAGGTGTTTCTTTTATTTTGACCACCTACTGTATGCATGTCTGCCCCAAAGGTCTCAGTTTCTCAAAGTGCAAAAACAAAACACATTCCCTGAACTTTTGATGTAGAAGATGAATTTAAATGTGTATTTACCACATCGATTGTAGAAAATATACCTGACGCGTTTTTATTTGTACTCTGGCTCCAACATGAAACTATCAAACACTCAGAAATCGATTCATCCACTCTTAGGAAAGACGCTGCTCAGTAACAGCATCTTATGTGAGGTTGTGATGACCAAAACACATAACAACCCTCAACAATAACCTCACACAAAATGAGTGTGGAAACAGATCCACTGTTCACTTCCAGCCAGCTCCGGGAGTGCAGCGAGCGAGGTGGGTCAACAGCAGGTCCCTGATCACTCACAGGAGGGCAGCCTCACCCAGAGAGAGAGAGAGGAGCAGCAGAGGGAGGTTGGGAAAGAGTGTGTGAAAGACTAGAAGAGAGAGAGAGAGAGAGAGATGGTGTATTCCGTGAAACATAAGCGGCCAACGAGCTCTGACTTGGCACAACTGTTGGCCTTGCTCTGCTTTGCTTGGGGTTGTGACAAATGAAATAAACCAACTGTGCCAGACCTCATGAGAGGGATTTTACAGCCCAGTGTTTCAGAAACACACTGCATGGAGAGGGAGTTTAGGTGTGAGATGGTGGTAGCAGTACAGATTGCATAGAATTACCAGTTAAATATCTTCCAGGAGCGTTTAGCCTCGAGGTGCAGCTGTCTACTCCTGTGCTTTGCATGCTGTAACCCTACACAGCCCAGGTAGGACCTTCTCACTCTGCTACTTCACAGCCACAATCTGGTTGTGTTTCTGTGAGGACTGTGAAATTTACAAGTCTTATAAATTAAAGCCGAGGCAGTGTCGAGGAAGACGACAGGTGACGTGCATGTGTGCGGCTGAACTGAGCGTGTTCTGGCGAGTGTTAGCAGCATGCTAGGCTACTGTGGGTGAGCTCTACAGTGCAGCCAGCTGTTTGCAGGGCGTCATTTGTCCAGCTCACGCTCTCAGCTCATCCGCTGAGGGGATGCAAATCCACCTTGACCTTCTCTCCGCTGCTCAGCATCCCCACGGTGGGGTAGAGGCCCCCAGGAGGAACCACCACCTCCCTCCGGCCCATCAGCTTCCCATTCCTTGTGAAGAACACCTGCAGGACCACAGGGGGGCGAGAGTGAGTTTAAACACACACACACACACACACACACACACGCTTTTCACTGTAAATCCACTGATGAAGCATTGGAACAATTAGTCATGAAAGAAAAGTCTTTTCATAATGATACCAATACAGACTTCATTTGAGAGCACTCAGTGTGCCAGTTGTAAACAGGAATTATGTGCAGTTAGGAAATATCGTTAAACAAACAGGTGACAGAGTAACGTCTGTGTTCTTGGAGAGAAAAAAAAAAAAGTCAGTGTTTACAGTACATGTCTCTACTAAATCAGCGAGTGATCAAACATTATCCAGCTGTTCTCAAAAGAACATCAACAAGCCTTTCAATGCTAATACCGAGGGCTTCTTCCCAAGTCTGAGGGCAAATACCGACACACTAAAACAACAAGTGAAGTACTGTGGAGTGTGTGTCTACGATAAATCAGGCTGAGTCACATATCAAACATTTACTGTACCACCCACTCGAAAAAAGAAAGGCTTAACCGCTATTCAATTACAAATGAAGGGTGAGTAAATCTGCAACAGGCTTCATTGGTTTGAACACCAACAACCCCCTCCCCCCGTCACCCGCGCACACGTGCAGCCATGCCCACAGAGACCTCTGTGATGTCAAGGAGCAGTGCATTGAGGGTAATGTGTCCTGCTGAATAAATATTGACAAACCCCTGGATTACAACCCGGCCTGTTCTGTTCTCACCCACTTGGGTTTCTGCCCTGCATGCACTCACACCCGCTCAGTGACCCCCCCCCCCCCCAGCTGGCCTCTACTTGCGCAACTGTGTGGGGGCAAGTTAGCCCAGAGGCTACGAGTCCAGACAAAGTGAAAACCACAGTTGCAGGAGTGATGTTACAGCAAGGCGTGGTGAAATATAAACAGGTCACAGTGACGCGTCCCACAGAAGCAAAGTTACACCACAATACGAAAGTAATTGCTGTGATGCAAGTTAAGTAATATGAAATAACTGCTGTGAAGTGTGTTCGATGAAGAGTTGCCAAAAGAAATAATGGATTTAATATTCAGAATATACCAACACAGAGCATAGTGGGTGTCAATGTATGGCTGACAGGCTTAATCCTGCACTGACGGATATGATTGATTAATTAATCAATCGGTTCCAGCTTCTCAAATGAGAATATTGTCTGGTTTGTTTAACTTTGCTATGATAGTAAACTGAATATGTTTGAGATTTGGACCATTGGTCGAACGAAACAAGACATCTGAAGATGTCGCTGTGGGCTCTGGGAGGTTTTGTGCAATTTTCTTGCATTTTAAAAGATCAAATAATTAACCAAGAAAATAATCGGTAGATCAATCGTGACGCATTTCTGTCCTCCTTCCTTTGTTTACATTATGTACACCTCCATACTGTATGGATGCACAGTATGGTTTTTAATTAAATTAGTTCAAGTTTACTTTCGCATCCAGAAAGTGAACTTATGTAAATCTGGTACATTTACATAATGGACTGAAGTCCTCGTGTTGATCAATGTGCATTGTCCCTTTAAAAAGAAAAAAAATGAGGTTTTATATACAGTCTAATCATATCAGAAACTTTTTTTTCCCCACTTCAAAAAAGTCGATACCTACTTCTGAAGTTTTGATTTTGTTTATATACAGTATTTTGTTTTTGGTAATGCTTTCCCTATTGTGATTTGGGATGTATTGTAGAACAGACTAAACTCAGCTTTAGTGTCTTTCAGCTCACTGTTTTGGTTGAAAGTCTGGTTCATTCCCACAGTGCTAATTAACCCCGAAAAAGTTCTGATTACAAAACCTGTCCAATACCAGACAAAAGTCAAGGGTCCGCTTTTAGCTCCTGGTAAGATAATCATGTTTACTGCTGGCTCACCACTACCAGTTGCGCAAGCTATAACGATTTTAGATCATACTGGCTGTGGGTTTGGGGTTTGTTTGGAGTTTTCATTAAAAAAATGTCACAACATTTCACTAGGAATTGGTTATCGATAACAGTGCTTGTTGTCCTTTCACTACAGTTGCATTGAACTGTTCCTTCTTCATTATCTGGAAGGTTTCTGGCTTGGCGACAGACACACATGTTAAAGAATTTAAGGGAAAATGCTGTCATAGTAGAACTCTAATACTCATATTGAAGAGGTCCCTAAATGTGGTTCTAAAAATGTTTGTGCGAATATTAATGATTGATCAGTCTTTATTTAAAGCGACTATAAATCAATAGTTTTATTATAACACAGTATCAAAGGACGGTGTTAAAACAATGTTTAAGGGGTTAGCTTGTGGTGATGTGACCTGAATCTGCAGTTCCTCTAGGCTCTAGACAGTTTCAGCTTGTTGATAAGCTGTCAGGCCACAATTTTACTGTTTTGGTTTGCTCTCATTGCTTTCATAGCGTTATTTTTGGCCGCACCAAAAAAGCTCTAAAAGCCACCTGTACACCACCAGCTCACGGACAGACACATTTAGCAGCTAGCCTGTGAATGCATCATCAATCTGGCAGCTAAACAGGCAAATATTTCTCTTGATCATAAAATGCTCATGAATCTAAAACCTGCGTAGTTTACATGTGTTTAGCAAAAAGGGGTGTGATGTATTTTACATGCTGTCAAGCCACACATTAATTTTCTCTCGCAGTGAAATACAATTGTATAACGGATAAGACAGACTCGCGGAGCGCCTGCTGATGCCACACCGGCGAACTCCCTGATAGTAATCAACCGCACTGCTCGCGCTGTGAGTCCAGACAGCTGTGACGAGTGGTAACGTCGCTGGTAGAGTTTTGCAACATACACATCTAAAAACCTAAGTGCAACTTTGCTCTGTTTGGGACTGTGAGCTGCACTTTATCAGAGCTGCTGAAGTTAACGTGTGTGTGTGGATCTGTGGTGAGATTTTGCCTGATCAGTGTTTCAGTTACTTCCGGTTTCACATGCACTCCCAAACTGCGTTGATCAAATGGTCTGAAGGGATCAATAACGTAATGCACAGCAGAGTAAAGAGCAGGTAGACTTCTCATCAAATGATGACAATAGTCTCTTAATATTAGGACTTTTTTCTTGACATGTCAGAGAACAGAGATATGTGAGAGATTCTGAATGTGCTGAAAGTTTTGAACACGAGCAGAAAACCTGCTGAAACACAGGAGCTATTAAAGTCCAGGAGTTTATAACTGAATAAAAATTAAATCATTTCTAATTGAGGTGAAAAGCTGCCACAGGCACATTTAAAGAGGTTACTTCCCCAAACAAAGACACAGAAGAGGAGTGAAGACTAAATCAAGCCTCAGCAGGGATGATTTTACATGAGAAAAGAAAATCTACAGGGGAAATAGATCTGAAAAGCAGCACAGAATGACTGAGAGCTGCACTGCATTATATTCTATTACAGTTAGGCTATAGATTTTGTCACCTGCCACCTGAGTTTCTCTACATACATAAAAAAAAAATCACCATAAATTGATGCAGAAAAATTCATCAGAATGCAGGAAATAAAGTGTTTAATACTAAACAAAAATTCATATAATTTAGCATTAAAGATTTATTAAAAATTGTGTTAAAATCTCATCTCGCATCTCGTCTCGTCAGTTAAGTGTCTCGTCACACCCCTAGTAGCAATGGTTAACACAGCTGTGTCGTGTTTATGAGTGTTCCTCACCGTGACCTTCCTGCCCTCCTGTCCCTGCTCTACCTGTTCCCCATCTTCCTCTTCCTCCTCTTCGTCGTTGAGGTACAGAACGTTCTGAACGCCTGCGTTACTAGAGCGGACCTCCAGCCGATCCCACTCGTCCGTGTCACCTGGGGACCAAACAGAGCACAGCGCGTTCGAGTAGAGGTAGAGGCTTTCATGTGCAAGCTGAGTTGCAGCTGTGCCACACGTTTTACACACTGAAAAAATACCAGGCCAGGAAAAACAGTGCAGAGCAGTAAGACAGCAAAAAATGTTAATTAATGCCTCAACCTGAGATGTTTTGTTAGTTTGAATACTACAGTTCTTACAAATTATCATAGGTTTAATCATTTGAAACGGATGTACGGAAACCACCTGAGAGCAGGAAAGCCTATATTTGTCTCTCAGGGAAAGGGAGTGGGCCCTTTCAGTAACTGTTCTGCTTTCCTTGTGGGGGTGTCTTGGTTTGCATTCAGTTTATTTCCCAACAAAGCTAGCTAAACCACCATAAGCAGGTTTAAGAGCGAAACCTCCCACGGACAAATCAAACACTCTAATGAGTGACAGTGTAATTGCAGCACCTGCACCCTCTGCCCTCACCGTCTCCATCCAGGATGTAGTCTCGTGGAAACATGATGCCACAGCCCATGATGTCACCTTTGAAGCAGCGAGGACCAAAAGCGTCTCCAACGCCGCTGCCGTGAAAGATCTTGCCATCATCTGTCAGATAGGAGTAGCAAGAAAGAAACTTATTTATTACTCAACAAAGCATATGTGTCTAATAAGACTAATAAGAACTTCTAAACACCACACAGAATGAAATGTAATACCTGATTATATAATAATTAACACCAAATTTCAGACTTCTTAAAACCAAACACGCCTTTCCTTTGAGGAAACAGATTTTTGCAGAAGTCTTGAAGAAAGCTTTGAATTCAGATGCCCTGTGTGGGGTCATTTATGTCCCACACAGGTGGCCCTTTGCTGAACTTGACTTACAAGACGTTTTAATGTGTTTACCACAGTGTGCAACATGTGTACATACAATGTAGTGCCTCATTCAGGACATCCTGACATTCCAGTGAGATGATGATGTGTAAAGACGAAAGCAGCTCTAGTAAAAACACTTCTCCCCCCCCCCCCAAAAAAAAGACAACATCCAAAGGAAATCAGCAAAACAACACATACTACAGTTGCAAGAGACAACAATGGGGAAAAAAAGGGCTAAAGAAAAACATTGCAGAGGCAGCCAGCAGACGAGCTCTCCTCAAGCGAAGCAGCGTGGCTGCTGCTGGTAAATATTTATGAAGTTGTCATGGGACCCGTCCCCGGCCCAGGATACTGTTTAAACAATCTCTATCTTAGCACCGGGAGGGAGACGGAGACACTGTATCATTACGGCTCCCATGCGGGGCCTTGTCACAACACCACACACCGGGCAAACGGTGCAGCCACGCCGGCAGAGTCGCAGCACGGCTAAAAATAGCAGAGCAGGGCTTTAGAGAGCGACATGGGCTGGTGCTGGAGGTGAGGTGGGGTGTGGACGTCCAGGTTTGGGCCTAAGGATGGAGCTAATTCACTGGGGCAGGAAAGGTGAGAAAATCCTGATGGGGCTGGGCGGATGTTTGAGACAGTAACTGGAGCTATGTTTTAGCACACAATAAAATGTTCTGCTGCTTTTCTCAAGTGTGCTTTGGTGCTAAAAAGGATGGAAATTGAGACACAGGAATCAGAGCTGAACTGTGGCGGAAAATTTTTAAATTCATGTTTATGAGACTAGAGAGTTTAAAATTAGCATAGAGGTGTTGACCAAGGTTTGGCTCTGAGGATGGTGGAGTGTACGGAGCAGCAGAATACTGGTGATGGTGTTAATGCAAGAGTCAAGATCATAAACTGAGGCAGTTGTCTGTGAAGCTAACAGAGGTAGCTACTGTGACCGCCACCAGGTGCTGGATCTAAGGGTGATCCAAGCAGCAACAACATGGTGAATACCGGAGGTGGGTTTGGAGACGCTCCCACGGGGAGGGGAGCGCAGGCTCTATGGCTGACAGAACCTGACCGAGGACTGAGACCAGCTGGGAACAAGAAAACAGGCTCTTTAGTAACATGAGAGTTTGTCTGGAAAAGACTGGGCTTCCCTGCCCAGGGAACAATGACTTCACAGACTCCTAAAACATGAAAAAGAGTCTGGGGCCATTTGGGAAGGTAACAGGGTGTGCAGGGCAGGCTGAATGTCCAGCGTGTATGAATGACAGTAGTAGAATGAAGAGGAGAAACATTATTTAGAACATTTTGTTGTAACACAAAACTAAATTTTCTCTGGATGGCAGTTTTTGAGCTACGACAAAGGCCAAAATGTGGCCTGCAACAGACTAGGTAAGACTTTATTTCGTCTAGTCGATTGCTAGAAATGCCTTTTGTTTTGTTGTAACGTATATCGTAAAATGGTGAATACTGCTCAAAAGACAAAAGTCTAAGCTTTACAAAAGGATCAGTCAATGACATTGTTGTTCAAAATTGTGAATCACCGCAACCACGAGAGGTCCCTGAGCATACAGTCATAAATGTGCAAAAAAATCATTAGGCTGATGGGTTCAGTGGGTATGCAAGATTTGCTGGAGACAGGTTTTAGCTCTCTGACAAACAACTTTGTGTTGGTTTTAGAGCTGAAAGGATTTGTGGATAGGCAGAAAATTATTTGCAACGGTTTTGATAGTCATTAAATTTTTCTAGTTCCAGCTTCTTCAATTTCAGGATGTGCTGCTTTTCTTGATAATGAACTCTTTATCTCTGGGTTTTGGACAGTTGGACAAACAAGCAATTGGATTTCATCACTATGACATTTTATAGACAAAATGTTTGAGAACTGCCAGATAAAATATGTAAAATAACAGTTAGCTGCAGCCTTGGTTGGTTTGTTTACAAAAGTAGATTTTATACATACTTATTCAGACATCACGGCAGGTACAGTGAGGGAAAATTTACCGTCAAGGATTGTGATAATAGATTGGTCGTTTTTGCCAAATCTTACCCGTTAGGTAAGAAGGTAATATAATCCCCCAAAACAACATGTTGGTATTAAATATTTGTTTTTGCAGAACCTGAGCTAGAATCAGATAAGACCCCGTCACTGAAGTTAGACTGAGCCCTATTATTTCAGGTTGGCTTGGTGGTGAGGGATGGACGGTGGCGGTGGGGCACATCCTTCATCTGCGGGTGTTGAGTCATAGCACGTGTGAGTCACTGATGGGGGTTTGGAGGGGGTGACAGGGTTAATGAGGCTTGCTGAGGAGCACTCACTGGTTGGATGGCTGGTTGCTCGTGATAGGGCCCACAGGGGCCCGCAGTGCCCCACGGCCCATTAACTTGCGGAGCCAGCCCGAGCCAACACGCGGGATGGAGGTCCACACTGGGCCAGATCCCAACACAAACACTCGTGGTAACACCAGCGCAGGCCAAAGAACTCTCAAACTATACAAGCTATACAATAGAGCAGTAATATGGTTGGCCGGCATTCGTGTACATAACTGGAATATATACCTTGAGTAAAATAACAACTTTAAAAGTCAATAATACACATTACATGTGATCCAGGTCAACACTGGTCACGTGCCCAGTACAACGCATCATAAATCAGGGTAATCAAACTGTACATGCAAGGTATAAATTTGAAAAGGAGGAATACTGCATTAAATCATTAAGTAATTTATGTATTTGCCTTCAGGCTGCTTAATATCACTCAAAATACTATTTGCAGCAACTTTTTCTTAAAATCTAATGATAGAAACATTAGGATCACGCTGCTATTAAGAACAACATGAGTTACGATAAAAATATAATAATGAGTTTCAACAGTCCATACAAAGCTAAAACCTGACAAGAACATCATGGCAGACATTTGCCCCTTTAGATTCTGAGGTCCAAATATAAGAAAACCAACCATAAAGGTTAATAAACATAAGTACCACGTGTCACAGAAACACCTCTTCACAGCATTCTTGGTTACAAAGCTAAAGTCATTCCTTCTTTAAACAATCCTGCTGTGGGTATATGACTATATACATTGACAATACATTACTTTTTTATCAATCCCGGATGCGTGGTGGGGCGAGGGGAGACATGAAGAAGAGGCCCCGGCTGTTGATTTTAAGTAGCTGGATTAGAGCCTGCACATTAACCCAAGCATGGGAAGGCAAACCTCATATGCACAGCGTGGAAAACCACATACATCATTTTAGTCTCTAACAAATAAGATTAATGGGAGCTGTGCTGGGGCGTGCACATTTCTGTGGTGTCCAACACACGGCAGCCAAACCAGGCACACCGCAGCGCTAGACCTCTGGGACTGGCATGGTGAGGCCCTGTGAATGACCAGCCTCGTCTGTCACTCAGCAATGAGGTACCATCCACAGACTCCGGCAGGACGCACAGCATAAACTGTTATTATTATTAATATATCCTAAGTATAAATGGAATCTGCAAGGGATATATGGGGATTTAGGACTATAAACATCGACTCAAAACATGAATGGAATGTGCAGAGTGAACAAGAAAATGTGTTTTGATAGCTGATTTGGAGGTCAACTGGAAGAAAGTATATAAACCATCCTCTAAAAATAAAACCATACACATTTTCTGGTGGAAAAACATATGACAGAGAGTGACATTTGTGTTGTGTGAATCATTCAGAGGGAGAGCGGCTGAAATCCCCTGTGAGAAAGATTAACAAGGGGATGCTGCAGACGAAAATAACGCCGATAAAAGCCAGCTAGCTCCTAACTGCTTCGGTCTGATAAGGACTAACAAGATCTTGACTGTGACAGTGGACCGTCAGATAAAGAGCGGGCTACCTACTGTAGCTTGTACTTTGTAGTAACAACCACAAATTCTCATATCATGGCAGCAGCGTTTGATAGCTAATCTCTTAGCACTGATAGCGAGGGGTGCCTGGAATGGCAGCTGTGGGGGTTTTTGTGCAGATGCCTGTACAGATAATGTTCACAAGGCTGTCGTCACAAACAACCAAGACTGTGTGTTGTGTGTGTTGTGTGTGTCTGTGGAAGCATAAGAAGATAAAGATAACTAAACTCAGGTTTTTTGTGTTTGTTGTTTTTTTCGGTTCACTGCTTAGAGAGATATTTTAGATGACCAAACTTCCACAGAAACAGAGGGAGAGCGATTGGAGATATGATCCTTCATCTCTTTCTGATGCTGTCACCATCTGCTTTATCTGCTTTCTGTCCCTTTTATCTGCCTGCAATCGTCCTTGATCTCTGTTTGTGCTCGGCACCTTAACATCCAGCTGAGACGGTGCCCTGTGATGTTTGCATCTAAAAAAAGGCAGCAGATAGATGCTTTAGAGGAAGACTATCAGATTTTTTTTTTAATTTCGTTCAAAACAACCCTACAGGGGGAATTCCACACTCACAAAAAAGGAAATAACGCACAACCTTCTTTCTGATAAATCTGACAACACAGACTGAAAGGAAGAGAAAGAGAGACTTTTACCTGCATGATACGCCACTGACCCTCGGCTCCATCCCGGGTGTCTGTTCCTAGGGTAGTCCTGCACAGACACAAACAGTTACACAGGTCAGACATACATTTTTCACAGTCATGTATTTGATCGATTTTAACATTATGCACCATGGAGAGTCAGGAATCTGCAGGTATTGTTCAAATAAAAACTACACCAGGTAATTTCACTGACTACCAGAAAAGTACTCTTTAAAATAAATAACCACTTACAAAAAGGGTTCCATATAAAATGAACCACAATGAACAACATTTGTCTTAAGGGGCTTTACAATCTGTCCCGCATCGACTCCGTCTCTCTCCCTAGACCATCGACTTGGGGAACGTCGGGGGAAAAAGTGGAAGAAACCTCAGGAACAACAAAACAACAGAACAAATGCCTCTCCCAGGACAGACAGGTAACTAATATGGCCCATTTACTCATGGCATTACAATGCATTTTGGTTGATCGGATTGCATTTGAAGAGTGCTTGACCAAATGAAAGTACAGGTGTAAATGCATCCAAAACACTTTTGAGGAGGTGATCCAATCGGTCAGGGACGCATTGAACACAAGTTGTAATGCAAAATGCGTTGTCAATCCGCATTCAACAACTATGTGGTTGGAAGTATGTACCAATCACAGTCTTCTGCAAATAAAATCAAAAGTTTGACTGTGCAGACAGGCAATTTGTACCAACAGTGTTGTGCTAAATTCAATATAAACTACTAAAATAACAGAAAGGAGCCCACTTGATGAAGAAAGGTAGTGCAAGGAAACCAGGTGGAACTTAAGTTCCACTTTCTGGCAGAGCTATTACATCAGCGTCCTGCTGAAGAGAGACAAACATAGTGTATAATCCATGGAGGTAAAGAAATCACTGTGGAAAGAGACAGTTCAGAAATGAATGATAAAGTCTGTAGTTATATAGAGCACATTTTGGACCCGCGCAAACAAGAAGAGGATGTGACGTTCGGTTTGAGCTTGATTGGATCTCAATGTGGACACTAGAGACACATTAATATCAGGTGTAAATTAAATCCGGTTAAAATCATATCCAGATACAATCTGGAAAGGATTTTAAATGTGTAGATGGCCCCAGAGTTGCCCCATGAACAGGAATTACAATAATTAAAATGCTGTCGCTGAATGCTTAGCTATTATAAAACACACAAACGTGGACAAGCAACACAGAGTTTAAGCTTTAAATTTTGTGGTATGCTTCACTATTTCAAGAGAAAAGAGGATGACGACTAACTGATGAGTTTGGGAAACATAATGCTGTATCAGGTAACCAGTTTGGCTGGGGTAGCTTTGTAAACTTCCCTAAATCCAATAAAGAGTGGATAGAGCTGCTATTATTAGCCTAAAATCACTACACCACTATACACTGGATGTTACCGATGTCATTTCTAACATTACCGGTTACCACAGAAAATAATGCAGTTTGTTAATAATATGCTGGTTAGCTTTGTTAGTTATGCTAAGTTACTACTAAAGTAATAGTACGCTAGTTAGTCTTTGCAGCTTTCGTTAGAGCAGTTACTCATTCCTTACACTTTTGCTCATTTTTGGTTTTGAAACGTTACTAAAAAAAAAGAAATCACACTCCAAACTCTTTAAACGCAGAGTATTGCTCCATGCACACTACTTCAATATGATGAGAAACCCAAAGCTTGACAGGCTTGACTGTCAATCAACTATAAATTACAGGTTTACAGTGTTTCCCAGCGCGCTGTATTGTGACCAGTGCAGTTTTAAATTAGGTTGTTGAATTCCTTTAATAATGTTAACATGCTAACCTTTCCGTTTGCCCCTTCTGCTTTGCAAACCTGTCAGTGTCAGCTACTTATCTCAGAGCTGAGGATTTGTTTGTATGGGTCTCCATCTGTCTGCATGTATAGTATATGTATCCCTTTCTCTCCATGTTTCACTATTCCAACAGAAATAACTAGTGGGCCAACTTTTGATTAAGATTAGAGGTAATTAGCAGAGATTTTTATCTGTCTTCTAGGATGCACCTCCATTAACTGTAGAAACACACTACTGAACAAGAGAGGGAGGAGGACGGCAATGACATTATGCTAATCTTTTGTCTCTCAGTAGTCTAGTAAACTTTCTCTACTGCTTTTCTTTTTAGCCAGTATTGTAAATGCTCCGTATTTGTATAGCGCCTTTCTAGTCTTTGCGACCACTCAAAGCGCTTTTACACTACATCGCATTCACTCACATTCATACACTGAGCAGAAACTAACATTCACACACATTCATACATAATTCGGAATTCAGTATCTTGCCCAAGGACACTTCGACATGAAGCCTGGTGGAATGAACCGCCAACCTTCCGATTAACGGGCAACCCGCCTGAGCCACAGCCGCCCGTAAAAGACCTCGCATTTTCATCTCAAGTTAAAGAAATTCAAAATATGAGCAGGATGATGTCCAAAGAAAGAGTCAGCTTTTGGCGAGTCACAGTTAAGAGAAGAGTGCTTTTTATCCAAACAAAAACACAGCCATTGATGTCTTGAGGTAGAGACTGAAGAGGCAATATATTGCTCAATAACAAAAAGGGCCAATTAAATTATTACTATTAGCACCTGTGTGGAGAAGAGACATGAGAAATAGGGACACTGCTGACAGACAAGCTTGGTCGGGCCAGGCAGACAGAGTGCAGCATTTGAGGACAGGACATCAGGGAAACATCAATGATGCTTCCTGAGATCCCTATTGGGGCTTGAGGAACAGGAAATGGAGAGAGAGAGAGAGAGGGAGGGGGAGAGAGAGAGAGAGAGAGAGAGAGAGAGAGAGAGAGAGAGAGAGAGAGGAATGCAGCTACTGCTCCAAGCCTGAAACCCCTTGATCCGCCAAGTCTGCTCCTCTTCCCCCTCGTCTCGACCACAAACCGGAGGATTCCTCTGGCTGACTGGCATGTGGGCTGCATCTCCATGAGGAGGAGAGCGACGGCTGGGTGTTTGCTCCCTGATTGATGATCCACAGACACTGATGTGAGCAGATTTTGAGGAACACTCTGAAATAAGACAACATTAAGGATGGCTAAACAAATAACGGGAGGATTAATAGTGATTTAATGTAAACCGCAGACTTCTGTCTGATAAATGGATCAACTATTAAATGCCTGTTTTCATTGCTGTCTTCTTGGTAATCGTTGTGTCCATCTTCTTGAATTCAAAACATATATTCAATGTGCTCTATTTGTCAAATAAGTATGGTGGATTAATGAGAAAAACTGAAACACTCCCTTTTCTACACAGGACATGAGAGCAGGATGACCCACTGATCCAGACTGAAATACCTCAACAGCTATCGGAAAAATCGTAATAAATTTTCATACAGACATTCATGTTCCCGAGAGGATGAAGCCTATTGACTTTGGTGATCCCCTAACTTTTCCTCTAGCACATTTGTGTTTCAGAGTGAAATGTCTTGACAACTCTTGGATGGATTGTCATTGTGATATAGTTTTATTATCAGGTCAAAATTTCAATTTATCAAATACAATATTAAATTTGGGGAAGTTTACTCACCAATGTTACCCAAGGCCACATTATATCTGCTAAACACATTAGTTACAGCCTTTTCTCTTAATTGTGTTAAATTTAAACACATACAAAATTATGAACATGTATATAATCTAAGCAGCCAAAACAAATTATGTTAGAACCAAATAACTAATAAATAATTTTATTATATTCCTTCTCATACTTACAATACGAGTACTAACAAGCTGCAACTACATTGCTGTTCCAGTCCCGGTAACATGAATGTAGCCGTCAACTGAATATTTGAGACCTCTTACAAAACACGAGTCAGATGAAAACCTACCAAAAAGGGCATTTTTAACCAAATCGTGGTGTGAACGTTAGCTTCATTAGCAAGCTAGCTAGAGCTGACAAAATGGTAATGACAGTTTTCATTTCTGCCCACGATAGTCCCCGACTAGAAATGAGCAAGAGCTGCTTTTGTTTATTCAAGGACCCAAAGCTTGACAGGTGTTAAGGGGGATGGGGCTGCGTGAACAGTAAACTGGCAACAAGCAACACATTTTTGTCTTCAAATGAATATAACATACTGCAGCTGCTATAATGTACATGATACCTGAAAATCAGGTGGGACAATTCACTGTGCAATTTTACAGTAGCCCCTGGAGAACAGAAATACCATCATAGTCATGCATGATATCTTTTCTTTTTTTGCGTAGGCTTCTTTTTAGTATTTAACATTCATTGTGGTACATGGGGGTAGAGCATGTCTAAACAGGATGTCTAAGTACCTGAAAACACTATTTGACAGTGTAAAAATAAGATTTTTATCTTCTGACTCTTCAACCAGTTAGAATCCGTTTTAGCCACAAATTCTGTAAAGCACAGATCATATTGTTTTGATGGACTTGAAACAGCTTTCCTTCAGACAAAAGAAACATTCCAACCTATTGTGGTTTGGAAATTACAAGTTTTCAATCAGTGGTGGCGCCACTGAAATCATACCTTCACTAGACTTGGGCGGTATCTATTTTTCAAATGTTCCTGACATTTCACCTGGGAAACGACCGCAATTTTTTAATTCACTGACCCAGATTTTTTTTTTTTTAATGGTAGCATGCAAAACCGTGCCATGGTCAATTGTCAAGGTGCAGACGTATCAGCAACACCAACCCTGCGATATCTTCAGTCATATAAGTTGCATAGCTACTTTTTGTGCGTGTAGTGAGAGGGTGGTTGAGCAAGAGCATAATGCAGCGGAGCAGAGGAAAAGGTGAGCAGTGATGTTTAGCAGTAAATGTACAGTGAAGGTTAGAGTTTGTCAGTGAATAAAGGCTGCAGGTGTGTGTGTTGTTTACCAACTGCTCGAAAAGTGAACGGGTTTATTGCGTTGTATGGCAGTTTCATGTTAAGGGCGACCTATCCAAAAGTTATATCTGCAGAAGAATGAAGTAGAGAAAAGTACCTGTTACTAAAAGCGAGCAGAGTAGAGTTTAGTCAAGCAGTACCGTGCAGTGGAAATACAACTTTTCTCTGTTCCACCAGTAGAGA